GATATGGCTTAGTTGCAAAGTTGGCAGGCTGAATCTGCAGGGAAAGGCTACGCATAAAGCATCAATTTCTAAGCCATCAGGTTGTGTGCTGTAAGTACGTTGCGCCGTTGCTTGTTCCTTGCAGAGCCAGTATGCACCCCCGGCCCAGGGAGGACCAAGCTTTCGAAGAAGAAGTTTATGCGCGTGCCATCGGGCATTCTCACAGTATGGAATGCCTAAAGGGGGGGGGGGTAGGTACAACTTGGTTGACGTTGGAAGGGGAGCACAAATCTAATTTAGCAGTTAAGTGGTTGGATTTCCCACTAAACCACCATAAGCAAAAATGCAAAATGCCTCCCCACAACAACCATGACAAGGCTGGGTAGTTGAGAGCCCTGGGGTTCCTTAGGGTTCCTTGAGGCGAGCCTTAGGACACCCCGCCCTCGTTGGACCCTAAGGGGAGACGCTGACAAGACCTTCCCTTGACGCCCTCACGGATGATCCGGATGTGCGGATCATCAACATCAGTTGCTGGCCCCTTCGAGGCTTTTTTCGGGTCGTATCCAAATCGGGCGGCCCAAAAAAGGCAGGTGTGCTTCTGAAATCATGAAGCCATCTTTTGGCGGGCTCCAACCTGGAAAAAGACGACGCCCGAACTTTTGTTTGGACTTTTCCCAACCAGGACCTGGGTGTCGTTGCCTCTTGGAAAAAAGAAACCAAAGGGTCCAAGACTCCAAGACGACAACCCAAAAAAGTCCAACCTTTGGTTTGTTTTGGACTTCTTGGGAGCCCTTCGAATTTATGCCCTCTGGAACCCTTTCTGGCTGAGCCTTGTCTTCCAGCAGCTGACGCAGCTGCGAGCCGAAGTGCTGGAAGTCCATCAGCCCTCCGACGGGAGGAGCGCAAAAATCAAGTCGCAACATGTGGGCGCCTCGGCGTTTTTGAGGTTGCAACCCCCCCCCTCAAAAAAAAAGAAGAAGAAGAAGAAGTGGGTTTCCTTTTGGTTTTCCTTTTGGCCTCCCTTTGAAACCCAGAAAGTGACCCGGAAAAACTGCCCTCGGTCGGTTGGGTCCTTTAAAACGCTTTTAACACCACCCCAAAAACGAGAGGTGCTTCAAAAAGGAAGGCTTCCCTGGGTGCGAGGGGCGTTTCTATTCAATTTGTTGCGAAGCTCGGTCGACAGCGCGCCCAAGCAAATCCAACAAGCTCAGTCCGGAGCCACCAGTCCCACCCGCTGTCTCCCAGCCTCGCTCCGAGCGGGTCTCCAAGGAGAGGCCCAGCAAGGGCATCTGAACACACCTCAGGCAGCAGGTATGTGGGTGTGTGTTTTGGGGGTACCCTTTTTGCCGACGGTTCAAAGAAAAGCAAAAAGGACAACCAGGAAGAAAAGACGCCTATGTGTCCAAAGCTTTGTGGCGCCTGCTGCAAACAGCAAAACCAACGTGGCAGGTTCTGAGTGTCAAAAGTTATGACGCCCCATATCAGCACGTGCACGCAAAAAAACTGTCACTGGACGAAATCCGGCACCACTTGGAAACCATGGGAAACCATTAATCTCTGGTATTCTCAGGGGAATCATCAGAGGGTTTCTTGGATGGTGCGAAATGGATTTCGTCCATCCAGAATACAATACACAAAGATATTCACAAACATGCGCTGCACATGGCTGGGGCTCACATCGCCGAGCCATTGGACCCTGGCGAAGGGCTCTTAACGACATGGCGATTCGAAAAAAATCGGACTTCGGGGGCCTGCCATGTCACCCAAAAGCGCTGCTTGAGCCTCTGGCGAAGCCTGTGCAGGTCAAAAAAGGCGATCTGCAGCCAGCCAGATGGACATCCCCGAAAGAAAGGACCTACTGTGGATGGCCAAAATCCATTTCGCACCACTTGGAAAACATGGTTGAAGCCATTGTTTAGTGGAATTTACAGGGGAACCATCATTCCAGGGTTCCTTAGGTGGTGCGAAATGGATTTCGTCCATCCACAGTAAGGCCAAACAATGACGCCCTGGCATCCTCGATCCTTCAAACAGACTTGCCCCAAGCAAGTCAGGAAACTGATCAGCTGGGCCCAGTGTTTTTTTTTGTGCGACATGGCAGCATGGGGTAAGGAAAGCATTGACCTCACCACATTGAGAGCCAGCAAAGACGATTGGCAGCATCATTACACGAGAGTTGCTGGGAATTGCAGGTTTTTGCTGGAAGGAGTGGACTTCTATGTAGCTTAACCTTGGCTCCTTGCAACAAGTATTTCTTAACATGGCCTAGCTTCGTGATTCGCTGTGGTTTCTAGTCGGTCCCTGGAACTTCATGTAGACCCAATGGCCCATGCTCCGTCAACACAGGCCGCCGGGCTGGTTGTCATGATCCGCTTGGTCGTCGCATGCCAGCTCGCACGCCTGCGTCCACCGCGTGTTTATATAAAAACCTCATTTCAGGGAATCTTAAGGCGGTGCGAAATGGATTTCGTCCATGCACATGACATGATGATTCAACAGCTCACAAGTAACCAGAAGCTTTACGACGCCCCACGGGCCATGCAGATGCTCGCTTCTGCACACTCGCCACGGACAATTCCTCCAGCGTCTAAACACGCACAGCGGAAGGCGCCGTGGACGGTTCCCAAAAAGCTGAGCTGAATGGGATGACTCCGCTAGCTCGCATATTTGTTTCATCTTGACCAGTCGAAAGGCATCTATGGCATATGAGTTGCGACTTGTGGCACATCCACCCATATCCTGAACAAACTCCTTGGTGTTTAGAGTGGTGGCGCTGCCCAAATCCGAGAAATGCTCTTGCCGAACTCCTTTGGAACAGAAAAGATTGATTCTACTCATGTGAGCTCATCCGGAATGCGAATGCATGCATTTTTGGCGCCCCAAAATTCATGGGCACCTTGAGATGCTCGAAAAGACGGGGAACCTCTTGAACCCAAGCGACGGAACCGGAAAAAAAGATCGGACCGAAAAGCCATCGGCACCTGACAGCAGTGGCTCGGTGCCACCTGGGGTGGAGCGGAGGCTTCGCGCAGGGGTGGGGTTGGGATTGGTTGGTATTGGTCAAACAAAAATTGGATGAAACCCAACCCCGAAGGCCCCATGCCAATACCGGGTTTACCAATCCCAATACCAGACAGAGTTTACTTTGGTTTAGGATGAATGAAACCAGGTGTTTGAGGAATCCCAAACCCACCGCCTTGGAAAATCAACCCGCGAGGCAAATTCGCCTTCAGGAATCGCCAAAATGTTTCTCCGAAGTGACATCCTCCAAATTACCCTCGAACGGGTGGTTGGAGGGAACCAACCCCGTTAATAATTCTGAGCACCCCTAAAAGTCTTCACTTAGAATGGACCCAGTATAACATGAGTCAACTGTTTGTCGGATTTGTCGGACCTTCCTGGAACTCTTTGCAGATGCAGACAGACACATGGCCATGGGTCAAAATCCCGTACCCCCAGTGAACATCCCAATCCCCACTAAAATCCCGACTAAAATGGTTTTTTGCACCTATCCCAAAATGGGATCCCATTGGTTTTGACCCACGGCCACATCCTGGCAGCTCAAAAACCGCTGCCCGGCAGCGCTGAGGCTTCTGCGCCGGTGACGCGGAAGCTGCATCCCTTGCGGGCACATTGCAGTACCTGAGCGCCGGTTTGTGCAAAAACCTGTGGCTGTTGGTGGCATACAAAGATTTTGACTTTCGAGGCTGGAGACGTCTGGAACAATGCTGGTCAACAGCAATTGGGGGCTTGGCAAAGAATTGCAACCGTAAAACAATTCCATCGGTTGCATACGCGGCGATTGAGCCTGATCTTGGCAAAACAGCATTGGCCAAGAAACCCAGCTTCTCCCCGACTGCCAGCAGAACTGAACTCGGTTGCCAGACTGAGCACGGAATGGTTGAAGAGGTGTGTCGGCCGGCGGCACTGGGCGCTCTCGCCGAATTTTTCTGCGCGCCTCACGAGCGCAAAGGCCTCCTTCGGAGGCGGCAAAGCGTGGGCACGAAGCTGATCGAAGGAAGCGGATGACGCGAGAACGATACCTTCAAGAACCATCCGTGCAGTATACCGAACCTGCTTGGAAGACCAGCCAGTCTTTGCAAAAGGACCCCGGGGCAAATGGGTAGAGGTACTCACGTCACACCTTCGGAATGAAAACTTCTCGCGGTCCTAGCCCCAGGTGGGTATTCCACCGCAGCTGGCTCTAAACATTTTCTTCTGGACGCTCCTGGACCAGCACCGAAGCGTCCACTTGTCCAATCCGGGAATCACATGGACACCTTTTGGGGCCATGACTAAACATGTTGGCAACTCACCATGGCACCAGGTGGCTTTGGGAAAGACCAGGTCGGCTTTGGGAAAGAGAGCGAAACAATGAAGCGCTCAAATGTTGCCAACACCCAAGGCACACATCAGTCTGCCCGAGCATGTGCGCATGCACATGCTGCAGCATTCGGAAGTATCAGGGAAGAACTTGGATAGCACAGGCCCGGCTCATATGGGCATAAAACAAGGTGTCATGAGCTGGGCCATAGGGTGACCTTTTGCGAAGAATAGATGGGTTTCCCTGGTACATGTGATAAACCCCATCTCAACCAGTGGAACCCATCTATTGCTAACCAAAGTACCCTAACAAGGAGACCTATGAGCTCGGCTTCAACTTGCCAGTGCTTCGGAGTGGACATCGCCTCTGGCCTTGAGAGAATAAAAGTTGTGCCCCTGTTCCGCAGGCAGTCAGAATCACGGTCTGTGGCCAATGCATCAAGCTGCATTGACACAAGTACCAAACAAGCTGCTCTAAAATGGCAAGGCACGGACAAGGGCTCTGCTTTGAGATGATCTCTGCTCTGATCATGAACATGTGATCCTATCTCTGTGTCTTTGTGTGCGTGTCATGACTCGATGACAACTCAATCACAATCAGCTGTCCTTGGTAGGCATTTCAGGCATGTCTGGCAAGTGGCCCCTGGCCCGCCTTGCAAGCTCAAGCAGAAGGGCATTCTAAAATCCAAGCAGCTACATCAGTCGTAGACGACTTTCCTCGGATCGCTTGCAAAGTGCGCCGCAGATATATAAGAGGGCAAGTCAATTGTTATGTATCAGAAAAAAAGGGAAAAATAGAAGGGGGAAAAAAAAACGGACAGAAACACGGACCTTTCAAAGTCAAAACTCGTACACCAAAACGAGGAGCGTTTTGGAAATGCTGCAAAAAAGGCAACTCTCAAGCGATGCATGTCTTTAAGAATTAGTAACCAATCAAATGCCAGACTGCCGCACCATCGATCTATCAAAGCCTCCGAAGGGGCATGGATGATACACGCATGGATCTAGAACCCACCCCTCACACCGCCAGTTGTTGACTGCTCAAATGGGGACATATGGATGTGGCTCAAAATTACAGGGCCAGGGGTACGCAAGTTTGCGCCCGTGGTTGCATTTACCAGGCCTCCATGTTGGGGGTTACCCTATTTATTCACCCAGGGCCATATGAACTACGGACAAACACAGATTCCCAAAATGGCGAGCAGACATTACGTTTCGGTTCCGTGAACCCCCCCAAGTCCCCACTGGCAGTTGCGCAAACAGAAGCTCAGGGTTAGCGACCACCCTTAACTTACCCCTTAAAACTCCAAGGATTGGGGAAGTTAACCTTTTACAGACATATAGCCCATGTTACCCAAAAAGTTGAAAAGTTGTGTTTTTGAGAGGTAAGTTAACCGTAACCACAAAAGGTTCGATCCTCAGAGAAGCCCAGAGTGTGCTTAGCAGACAATTGGGGATGTGCTCAAACCACTACACAGCCACCAGGAAATGGCTACAATATGGCGGTGGGTCAAAACTAGGTACCCAAGATTGGTTGTGCTGGGAATGGACACATGGACCCACATGGCTACCCACACCTTCCATTCCCCACATTATCTGGGCTGTTCCCCTTGAATCCCCTGCGAACAGTCGAAAGCTTTTCGTGCACCAGGTGGAAACTACCGCTAAACCGACAACCAGCAAAAACCTACGGAACCGGATGGGTGGAAGCTTGAGCTGTTGGCCCAAGGCGCACGCAGAGGTCCGAGAAGTCCGGCTCCGGCGCGGGGCGCACCCTCCGGGCCGTCCTGCGCGCCTCCTTCGCGGGCTTCTCAGGCCTCGGGCAGATATGGCGATCCCATGTGGACGAACCTCCCATTGGCCGCCTTTGCTCACCAGGGGTTTCCAGGGGTTTGACCAGATCGGAGGGCCGTGGGTGCAAGTTGATCCATCTGGGTTTTCACCCGCCAGATGGCTGGCTTCGGCTTCCCTAGGGGTGTTGGGGTCTCAAAACCTGGCGGTTTGAGGGCACACAATGAATCGAATTGGAGCCTCTGGGTGCAATTTGGGTGCGTCGCTGGTTAGGGACCCCCGAAATGGCGATGGGTGTCCCTTTTAGTCTCCCTTGAGAACCTACCAAAACGAATTACCCTCAAAACAAGATAGTCACATTTGGGATGTGTTCGAAGGAAAGCAAAAAGAGACCACCCATTTGGGTGCCATTCAGGCCCGAACAACTCGCAACTCTGCAACTCAGTGGCTGTGCTTTGAGCAATATGAAGATACTGCTTACAAAGGTTTCTTTAGGGCAACCTAGTACTTCCGCGCCCTTCTTTTTCAAGGAATTCGTTTGGCGGAGGCAGCCAACCACCAAGGGTCACCGACACAACTCCTGACCGTTTGATCTGCGATATTCCGGATATTGCGATTGGGATGCCATGGGATTTTAAGATTCCCCTTAAGTGCTTTGACAATGTTTGGTATTCCGCTTCTAGGCTGGAATTAATTAGGACCCCAGCAAAGAAATATCATATTTTGCCTGGTTGGTGGAAAACAAAAAGGGACCCCAAAAAAGCAAAAAAAAAAAAAAGGAGCAATTCTGGGGAAGTCTTGTGCTTGTGGTCTCCCAACCACTTTTTCCAAATCCCATAGATTCTCAGCGTGCCATGCGTGTGCCCGCTTGGGCACCAAGCCGCGGTTTTTGGCCACTGTTCCCGTAGATCAGCCACAGGCATCGGCCTGGGGGGTGCTTGTGCATACTGTGGATGGACAAAATCCATTTCGCACCACCTGAAAAACATGGGAAACCAGTATTTGTTTATGTGTACAAGGGAATCATCATTTCAGGGTTTCGGGTTTCTTAGGTGGTGCAGGATTTTGTCCATCCATAGTACCTCTTGGGCAACACCCAGGCCTGCTGATGTTCATACCCCTCTCCCCCTTGTAGGGGTATATACCCCCTATAAAGTGGGTTGGAAACCAGGGAAGCAAGGGGTATGAACAACGGGGACACCCAACCCAACGTTGGACCCACCGGCCTGCCGTCAACTTGAGCGCACGCATACCTTTTGTCTGTTGTGGGATCTATGGATTGCGAACGCAGAGCGCAGCTCGGGACCGGTGACTTGTCTGTTGGTTGAGCTTTTGCTGGGCCTTTCCTGATATGTCAAGTGGTGCCTGGCATCTTGACGAATGTGCAGGTCTCGGCGTTTCGAGCAAGGGTCAAATGTTTCACGCCCAAACCCCACCCCCCGAAACTCGAGCATGAAAACAAATCGCCTTGGCCAACGGTGGAAACAGCCCAGTTGAAACGTAAGCCTGCAACACAAAGGTGCCTTCCAAAACGGAGAAGCACTTCACTCAGTGTCGCCTGCATTTTGTCAGGACAGCCTTGTGCCACCAGCCAAAACTCTGTCCAGCTATCCCAACCCCCGCCCCCCCTCGGGAGCTAAGAACCCCTGAAAGCTGTCGCCCCTCGGAACCCCTCGAAATCTACGAAAAGCTCTGAAAGTTCGAGGGTGACCCACACCTGGTTGAGAAGCAGAAGCTTCCGAAGCATGGGTATGATCTTGGTCGGCTTTTAGGAAACCAACGTGACACTTGCGGCTTGACAAAGTGATGACGATATCTTTTGGCAGCAGCCCCGCCCAAGCGGCGCAATCACCATCCCACCAAGGGCCCCAGGTCTGACAGCCGACGAGTGTTTTGCGGCCCATCGGCCCATCGGCCCATCGGCCCATCGGCCCATCGGCCTGCATTGGTGTGGCGCCCCAAAACCTTGGGCTGACAGCCGACCCCTTCGATCAGAACGAGCAAAAAAGGGTTGAGGTGTTTTATTGCTTTTGTTCTAGCCCCGGCTTTTTACTCAAGAGGTTGGCTGGGAACTTTGCTTTGCTCTCAGGTTGGGGTCGGTGGGCCGCATCACCAGCATCCCCAGCATCCCCAGCATCACCGGCCTGCCAATTGGCTTTGACTTGGTGGCAGTTCAAAGTTGCTCCGGGCTGGTTTCGGGTGAGTGTTGGGCTGAGGTTTTATATAATGAGGGCTTAAGTTTGTTTGAGTTTCATTTAGGCTTTGTAAAGGGCTGATGCTGGGAGGGTTTAAGGTTGACTTTGAGTCGGTTTGGGTTGGCTTGGAGCTGATTCCTGCGAGGTGTGCGGCGTTTTGGGTGGTTTGGGGCAACGCCACAAGCAACCCCAAAGCAGCCCAAAACTTCCATAACCACGCCCTGAAGCAGCCCAAAGGTTAGTGCAAAAACCGGGCCGCACACCTCGCGCAAATCAGCTCCAAGCCAACCCAAACCGACTCAAAGTCAACCTTAAACCCTCCCAACAGCATCCTGGATATCAATAAATGAACCTCAAACAAACCTAAGAACCGCTCTCATTCTATAAGACCTCAGCCCAACACTCACCCGAAACCAGCCCAGAGCAACTTTGAACCGCCACCAAATCAAAGCCAAGAGGTAGCCCTAGTCCGAGCAAGGCCTGTGATGCTGGGGATGCTGGGGATGTTGCCGACCGACCAACCAACCAACCGACCAACCAACCAACCAACCAACCAACCAACCAACCAGTGCCCTGGCCGGGGCTAATCCCCGAGCCGGGGCTAGTAAAAAATGTTCCGCAAAAAAAGAAGAGCCAACCGGCACCCGGTTCATTCGAAACGACCTCAAGTGGTGCGATCGCTCTTTCCAAATCACAATCTGAATTGCAGCTCAGAAGGATATGGGCTCTGGAGCACTCAGTAAGGAGTTTATTTGTGGCTAGCTATGGCATGACTTTGCCCATGGAAGTCGAGCTAATTTGGTCTGTTCATCGGGCAGGGCCCTGTTTTGGCAGGTTGTCACTATTGCCTCACTCCTGTGCCCGCTTTGTCCTCCAATTAATGCCATTCTTGGCCCAGAGGTTGCCACGCATCCCGACTGCTCAAACAAACAAGCTTCGTACGGAAACTGTGAGCCTGATCAGGTTGCTTGATTGCAAGGAAATCTACGAGTATGTCACCAACCTTTCCAGCGTCCTTGGAATGCGCAGATTCCCCAGTTTCAATTGCACGGGGTTGAAGTAGAATGTGCCGCTGGGTGTGTCAAATGAGCACAAGCCGCAGGGGAACTGGTTCAACCTTGTGCCGCAAGCAAGATCACAAATCAAAGGTTGCCAACTCAAATCTGGTGTGTCCCCTTGTTTCTGACAATGTTCAAGAGAAACCAAAATCGAACCCCCCCCTGATTTGGGGAGGCCCCTTGTTTTTGAGCAAAAAATCCCCCCCCCCCCCCCCCACATTTTGGGAGGTACCTCAAAACCAACGAGCCTCCCACCCCACCCGGTTCACCGAGTGCGTCCGGGCGCCTTCCACAGACCGGAGACCGGAACCTTCTGCGGCTTGGGCGGCGGCGGGCCTCGAGGCTCCGCTCCTGGTCGGGCCCCCCACCCCGAGTCTGGGGAGGGTCCTGTAAGGCAACCTTTTGCAAAAACGACAGGTTTCCATTTTTCAACAAAAAGAAAAGAAAAACAAATCTAAAGCAGTGCCATCTATTTCTAACCAAACTACTCACGGTAAGAGGAGGTGCAAGCGCCCGTGCCCCTCCCAAGTCAAGTTTCAACCCTAGTCGCAATGGCTCGGCGGGCACCCTAATCGGAGATCAATCTCCAACGGAAAAAAAAAGCGCCGGTGGCCGGTGAGGCTGTCAGGCTGAAGCTGCTTTGCATCAAGAAACCCCTCGACTCTGCATGGGCCTCACGGACTGCCAAGTTTGTCCGTCCATCAACAACGCTTGCCATGAGCTCATGACTTCCCCACCACACGTGAACGGCAGAACGCTGTGCAAGGTACAAAGCCTTGTGCCACAAAGGAGCCCAAAGCAGGCGTGCTCGTCCAAAAGTCAAGGCAGCCGCTTGCCAAGAGCATGTTTCACCAAGCCAAAGCTCTCCACGCAGTGGCATTCTCCAGCTTCCACTGCTTGTAATGGCAGCAGCTGTCAGGCTTGCAGGACACCGAAGCCAGCCAAGTTGCACCCAGGAATGCTGTGGGCTTAGCGAAACAGAAAACCTGACTGCCGCCCTCGCCTACCGCCCGGGGAAAAAAGCATCATACGCAGAAAACTACTTAATCCCTGTGTGTCAAACCCCCCTCATGGGGGGCCCTTCTGAAAAGAAACCTGCCTGGCTCCGAGGAGACCGTCGAGGTCTTCGTGTTTGCCCTGCTGCGGCTTCGGACTGGCTTCGCCAAGAAGCCTCGCGAAGCGTTGCTCGCCGGTCGCGCGCGGGTGATACGCAACCTCTTCTGTGGATGGTTGTGACATCCTCTTAGGCACCACCTAAGAAGCTGGTGATTCCCCTGCAAATACCAACAAACAATGGATTCCACCATGGTGCACGATTCTGTCCATCCCCAGTAGTTACAATGCCTTAGCGTGAATGTGGCTATGGCTTGTCAAATGTATAGCCCGCTCAGTGTAGAGCCCCTCGTGCTTGAGGATATCAACGGCTCCCATGGCGTGACAGAGATACATCCCGAACGATTGCTGCACTACGCCTGGGCGGGTGCAACATCATTACCAAAGAGCGAGTTCTGAAAACAGGTCACCCCAACATGGTGCTAAGCTGATGCATGAAGTCAGGCGGTTCCTTTTGAGCTCTGTCTTGTCAGGAAGCGAGCGTCATGCAGTTCCACCATCCATTCCGTGATGAAATGAAGGAGGAGGCTGCCCAATTCAATGACATTTCAGGTGGATTCGAGGTGTCCAGGTACCAGCTCTTTCAAGGGTACGCACTGCCCGAGTCGTTCCTCCACATCCCTGCAGTCTGGGAATCTGTTTCTCACCTTCAATCCCGCACCTGAAAACTTGCTTGTCAGCAGGGAATGAACCGGAAAGGAAAAATCCCGTGAAGGAAAATATGTGGATTTTATTTTTATTTGTTTTAATCGGCATTCCATTCCTCTTTCCCATCTCTCGCGAGTTGCAAGAAAGGCCCTTCACCGATTTCTACACTTCTACACCCAACTCCGATCCAGAAACCTCACCCCCCCCCCCCCTGCCCCAGAACGGCGCTGTCCGCCTGGCGAGCGGAAGAGGGGCTTGCCCTGCAGAAGCACCTCCGACGGTGACAGAAGCCATGGCCAAGATGGCATGGTTCATGACTAACACAACCTCATACGTATCTATATATATATATGCGTATATATATATATATGTATGTCCATGTCGTATGTATGCATGCTTATACATATATGTATATATATATATGTACATATAAATAAATAAATAAATAAATAAATAAATAAATAAATAAATATATATATATATAGTTGTACGGACAAATATATGTGCACATGCGGTGCATATCAAGTCAGGCAATTAAAACATATACTGTGTCTCCAACCACAAGCTGTGGGCGAGCCCGCGGTCTCTGTTTCGTATCCCCTCTCATTCACGGCAGCTTCCGGGCTTCCGTCTTTCAAAGCCGTGAAGCAAGTTTTCACAAACCATCAGAATTCACAAACACGCACGGAAAAATAATTAAAACATAAAAATAAAAAATGAATAATAACAAACTTTCTGGGTTTGTCTGGGGGACATGGCGCCCTCGGAGAGTCTGGCACAAACCCGCCTGCATCCGCACCCCTTGCTTCGTCACGCCCTTCCTGGGGATGCGCGGATGCTATACACCATATATATATATATGTATGTGTATGTGTATGTGCATATGTATATATATATGATACAGATATGTCCAGTCGGAATATGCGTGTCAAACTCAGGACCTTTCCGAATGGTTGCATGTTGCAAGTTCCCTTTACAACTGGCCCCGCAAGTGTTGACGGGGCTTTTTTACAGAGTCCCACTGGTTTGTGGAATTCGCACAGTGTCGAAAGTTCAAGGCTTCGGCAGAACAGTTTAGAACAGAACAGGGCTGTGGGGAATGACCACTTCTGTGATACAACGGAAAGGGCTTCCCAAAAACTATTTTGTTAATATGAAGGGGATTCCCTTGTGTCACAGAAGTGGGGAAAAACCCCTTGATCCCACAACCCTGGAACATAATGTACAGACATGGGACTGTTGCCAAAGGCTCTTACGGATGGTGGAAATTACAATGACCTCCGAAAAACAACATGAACGCTGCTTTGCATTCAGGCCGGCCAATCAAAGAACGTTGGTTCCCAAGCAAGTCGCCAATATGAGAAGCCACCCATATCCAGGCCGGCCACATTTGTTCCAGTTCCTTGGACTCAGAGTTGGCAGTCTGGGAAGATGGTTGATTGAGCGACGTTCACAATCTTCAGATCCTGTTTAGTTTTGTTGCGGAGTTTTGAGCTCTCTTCACCCCAAATTGCACCCCAAATTAGGTGCTTATACCCTACAGTACATCATCTTGAGAGCTGTGGGCGAGTGTTGACCGCTCAGTCGGGCTCGCCTTAAACTTGGCCTAGCCCCCCAAAGGATGGGCTGTCCTCAGAGAAAACTGCCAGCTGCGTACTGGCCCGTCCAATCGGATACGGTTCTGCCGTCTGTCATCGGATACTCTTAGACCCGTGAATCACGTACTCGCGACCCGCGCACTCATCGATGATTTTAGGGTCGGTCCAAGGTTGGTTTAGGGTTGGTTTAGGGTTGGTTTAGGGTTAGTTTAGGGTCGGTTTAGGGTCGGTTTAGGCTTGGTTTAAGCTTGGTTTAGGGTCAGTTTAGGGTGGGTTTAGGGTCGGTCTAGGGTTGGTTTAGGGTTGGTTTAGGGTTGGTTTAGGGTTGGTTTAGGTTGGTTTAGGGTGGGTTTAGGGTCGGTTTAGGGTCGGTTTAGGGTGGGTTTAGGCTTGGTTTAGGCTTGGTTTAGGCTTGGTTTAGGGTTGGTTTAGGGTCGGTTTAGGGTGTTTAGGGTTGGTTTGGAGTTGGTTTAGGGTTGGTTTAGGGTCGGTTTAGGCTTGGTTTGGGGTTGGTTTAGGTTTGGTTTGGGGTTGGTTTAGGCTTGGTTTAGGGTGGGTTTAGGGTGGGTTTAGGGTCGGTCCAAGGTTGGTTTAGGGTTGGTTTAGGGTTGGTTTGGGTTTGGGTTAGGTTTGGTTTAGGGTTGGTTTAGGGTCGGTTTACGGTTGGTTTAGGGTTGGTGTGGAGTTGGTTTAGGGTTGGTTTAGGGTCGGTTTAGGCTTGGTTTGGGGTTGGTTTAGGTTTGGTTTGGGGTTGGTTTAGGGTTGGTTTAGGTTTGGCTTAGGCTCGGTTTAGTCTTGGTTTAGGCTTGGTTTAGGGTGGGTTTAGGGTGGGTTTAGGGTCGGTCCAAGGTTGGTTTAGGGTTAGTTTAGGGTCGGTTTAGGGTCGGTTTAGGCTTGGTTTAAGCTTGGTTTAGGGTCAGTTTAGGGTGGGTTTAGGGTCGGTCTAGGGTTGGTTTAGGGTTGGTTTAGGGTTGGTTTAGGGTTGGTTTAGGTTGGTTTAGGGTGGGTTTAGGGTCGGTTTAGGGTGGGTTTAGGCTTGGTTTAGGCTTGGTTTAGGCTTGGTTTAGGCTTGGTTTAGGGTCGGTTTAGGGTCGGTTTAGGCTGGGTTTAGGCTTGGTTTAGGGTCGGTTTAGGGTTGGTTTAGGGTTGGTTTGGGGCTGGTTTGGGTGGGTTTAGGCTCGGTTTAGGGTTGGTTTCGGGTCGGTTTAGGGTTGGTTTAGGGTTACTTTAGGGTCGGTTTTAGGCTTGGTTTAGGCTTGGTTTAGTGTCAGTTTAGGGTGGGTTTAGGGTCGGTCTAGGGTTGGTTTAGGGTTGGTTTAGGGTTGGTTTAGGGTTGGTTTAGGGTCGGTTCAGGGTCGGTTTCGGGTCGGTTTCGGGTCGGTTTAGGGTTGGTTTAGGGTTGGTTTAGGGTTACTTTAGGGTCGGTTTAGGGTCGGTTTAGGCTTGGTTTCGGCTTGGTTTAGGGTCGGTTTAGGGTGGGTTTAGGGTCGGGCTAGGGTTGGTTTAGGGTTGGTTCAGGGTTGCTTTTTGGTTTAGGGTTGGCTTAGGGTCGGTTTAGGGTCGGTTTAGGGTCGGGTCGGTTTAGGGTGGGTTTAGGCTTGGTTTAGGCTTGGTTTAGGCTTGGTTTAGGGTTGGTTTAGGGTCGGTTTAGGGTCGGTTTAGGGTGGGATTAGGCTTGGTTTAGGGTCGGTTTAGGGTTGGTTTAGGGTTGGTTTGGGGTTGGTTTGGGTGGGTTTAGGCTCGGTTTAGGGTTGTTTTCGGGTCGGTTTAGGGTTGGTTTAGGGTTGGTTTAGGGTTACTTTAGGGTCGGTTTAGGGTCGGTTTAGGCTTGGTTTAGGCTTGGTTTAGGGTTAGGGTGGGTTTAGGGTCGGTCTAGGTTCGTTTAGGGTTGGTTTAGGGTTGGTTTAGGGTTGGTTTAGGGTCGGTTTAGGGTTGGTTTAGGGTCGGTTTAGGGTTGGTTTACGGTTGGTTTAGGCTTGGTTTAGGGTTGGTTTGGAGTAGGTTCAGGGTTGGTTTAGGGTCGGTTTAGGCTTGGGTTTGGGGTTGGTTTAGGCTTGGTTTAGGGTGGGTTTAGGGTCGGTGCAAGGTTGGTTTAGGGTTGGTTTAGGGTTGGTTTAGGGTTAGTTTAGGGTCGGTTTAGGTTCGGTTTAGGCTTGGTTTAGGCTTGGTTTAGGGTCGGTTTAGGGTTGGTTTGGGTTTGGTTTAGGTTTGGTTTAGGGTTGGTTTAGGGTCGGTTTACGGTTGGTTTACGGTTGGTTCACGGTTGGTTTACGGTTGGTTTAGGCTTGGTTTAGGGTTGGTTTGGAGTTGGTTTAGGGTCGGTTTAGGCTTGGTTTAGGGCTGGTTTGGAGTTGGTTTAGGGTCGGTTTAGGCTTGGTTTAAGCTTGGTTTAGGGTCAGTTTAGGGTGGGTTTAGGGTCGGTTTAGGGTGGGTTTAGGCTTGGTTTAGGCTTGGTTTAGGGTTGGTTTAGGGTTGGTTTAGGGTCGGTTTAGGGTCGGTTTAGGGTGGGATTAGGCTTGGTTTAGGGTCGGTTTAGGGTTGGTTTAGGGTTGGTTTGGGGTTGGTTTGGGTGGGTTTAGGCTCGGTTTAGGGTTGTTTTCGGGTCGGTTTAGGGTTGGTTTAGGGTTGGTTTAGGGTTACTTTAGGGTCGGTTTAGGGTCGGTTTAGGCTTGGTTTAGGCTTGGTTTAGGGTCGGTTTAGGGTGGGTTTAGGGTTGGTTTAGGGTTGGTTTAGGCACCCTGATACATTCGCTCACGCAATCCATGACATGGGACAAGGCTGTGAAAAGTAGGAACGTAGACCCCGCAATTCCGTCAAAACCCCCGTCAAACCCCCGTCAAAGCCTCCGTCAAAGCCCCGTCAAAACCTCCGTCAAAACCCCCGTCAAAACCCCCGTCAAAGCCTCCGTCAAAACCTCCGTCAAAACCTCCGTCAAAACCTCCGTCAAAACCTCCGTCAAACCCCCGTCAAAACCTCCGTCAAAACCCCCGTCAAACCCCCCGTCAAAACCCCCGTCAAAACCTCCGTCAAAACTCCCGCTAAAACCTCCGTCAAAACCCCCGTCAAACCCCCGGCCAAACTTTACCTTTGTCCCCAGGGGGCAACTCTAGTTGTGGTGTGAAAGCCAGTTGGCAGTATCCGCTATAGTCTAGCTGGTTAGGATGCTTGGCTCTCACCCGAGGGGCTCGGGCTCAAGCCCCGGTGGCGGAATCTTGGCCTCACTGACAATGGCTGGTTGGTCATCTACTGGCAGGGAACGATCAGTTTCAACCCGGACGGCGTTTTGAGGGTTTTGACGGAGGTTTTGACGGAGGGTTTTGCAGCTGTGCGGCCCGGGCGGAACCTGCCCCAAAGAGCCGTTTTCGCAAGGTTGTGCCCCATGGGCGGAACCTGCCAAAAAGACCCGTTTTGGCAAGGTTGCGCCCACTGGGTAAAAAACTTCCGCTGTCAAAACCTCCGTCAAAAATCCCGTCAAAACACCCGTCAGAGCCTCCGCCACAGCACCCGTCAACACCCTCCGGCCAAACCTCCGTCAAAACCCCCGTCAAAACCTCCGTCAAAACCCCCGTCAAAACCCCCGTCAAAGCCTCCGTCAAACCCCCGTCAAAACCCCCGTCAAACCCCCGTCCAAACTTTACCTTTCTCCTCAGGGGGCAACTCTAGTTGTGGTGTGAAAGCCAGTTGGCAGTATCCGATATAGTCTAGCTGGTTAGGATGCTTGGCTCTCACCCGAGGGGCTCGGGCTCAAGCCCTGGTGGCGGAATCTTGGCCTCACTGACAATGAGCCCCGTCCAAACCCCCGTCAAAACCTCCGTCACAACCCCCGTCAACACCCCCGCTAAAACTCAGAGCCTTGCGCCAAAACCCCCGTCAGAGTCCCGTCCAACTCCCACCAAGACCTCCGTCAAAACACCTCAGCTTTGCTATGCCCCAGCTGGCAGGGAGAAAGTGTGCGATTGCAGGGTGGGGCGGTGTAGGATTGGCGTCTCATGTAGTTTGCGATTGTCGGTTGGGAGGAGTATCCGCTTGGACGGTCGAGTGTCTCTGATTGGGGGGTCACCCCTGTCCTCAAACGTTGCCTCCCCCCCAAAATAGAAACAGCGATTTGCAGGGGTCCCATGCTCAACAGAAACAAACCAAACGCCCTTAGGGGTTTCATGCCCCCCCCCCCCCCAACCCCCAAAGGACAGGAAAGCAAACCCAGCGAGTCGAGTTCGGGGGAATTTTTGGGGGGTCCTCTCCGCCAGCAGCTCCAACGCCACTTCGAACTGCACCACGTCGATGGTGCGCTCGCCTCAGGGATCCGGGCATCCAGTCCTCCCAAAAGACCCAGAGAAACCGATCCCGAGGTCACAGCCCTAAAACTGGCCCAGCCCTTCAGACCTTTGGCCGTTCTTTTCCGCTCTTGATGTCTCTTGGGCCTCTCAGGTCACATCGGACTTCTGGCCCGACCTCTTCCCCACCCCTTCCGCAGGCTGAAAAGTGCGAAGCGCCCAGTGCCCAGTGCCCAGTGCCCGGCCTTTCCGCTTGACCCGGGTGTCGCAAAAGATGAGGTCCGCGGACACCGCGCTGAACTTCTTGTCCAGGAGCTCGCAGTCCTGCGGCTCTCCGACTCGCCGACTCGATCGCCGACTCGCCGACTCGAAATCGCTCGCTTCTGGGCCATCGGTTCGCGGGATTTCTCGGAAAGCACGGCCGGAATTTTGGGAAAGAAAGACGACTTGAGACAGTGGACGGTTCTTTTCGGTTGACGTATCCAATTTCAAACAATCCAATGATTTTGGTCATGGAGTTGGACTTGAGCAGAATGGAGTTAGGTGGGGGGTGGGAGGTGGAAATTGGAATGGAGTTGGAGTGGGGTACTTGAAACTGAAGAAGGAGAGGTGGACGAAATCCTGCGCCACCAAAAAATCACTGGAATCATGAGTCCCCTGTCAATACCAATGAACAATGGTTTTCCATGTCTTGCAAGTGGTGCAGGATTTTGTCCATCCACAGTATGTTGTATTTAGATGTTGCTGATCGACTGACAGCAGCGAGAACACCTTTTACACAGGCAAGTGTGTCTGGACGCGCCTTGATCACTTAGAGATCAACCGTGTCCGCGAAAGAGAGCAGCGCTCTCAGAAAGTTCCTATGATTATCCTTGCCCTTCATAAGTACCGTGGGGCGTGCGCGAATCGCGGCTGCAATCAGATCCACCATTCTGACCTCCTCACCCTTTGCCTGTGCATATGTGAATGCTACAGCCGCTGCTGTCGAGCGGTTCCGGCCGCCATAGCAATGGAACAGAATGTTGAAGGCGCGGGGCGGCTGCGCACCGTCTCCATATGATTCCGCAGAGATTGAATCACCCGGGGGAAGTGGCGCTCAATCACGTTCCAGCGCCCATCTGCAGTTGCCTCCTCAACGTATTCAATTCCCAGTTGCCTGTAAAAGTCTGCTTGGTCTTGCATGTACTCCTCCTCAACTTTCTGCTGAAAGTCCCCCGAAAGACAATTGTGAAAAAGACGCTTGTAGCGTGAGTCCGTTTTATCTGCGTCCCATTGATAACGCGGACCCCAAAAGCCTCTGCGTTGATCAACTAGATTTGCTGCACCCAACATGTTGACGACAATGTGGATATTGTTGCTCTGCAAGACCGCCGCATTCATGGCGGTGTACATGTCGGACACAAAAACGGCTGTGCCCGCAGAGTTGAAAATCAGATCGCAGTCCCTACACGAATACCAATCGCGTTCAGGCTGGCAGGGAATGCCGGCCCTGACTTCTGCCAGCAAACTGTCCACCTCATCGAATGTCGGCGGCATCATGCGGGTCGCGGACATTGGTGTGAGATGTGCAGCTGGAAGTTCACAATTTGGCTGTGGGTCAAAACCAATGGTACCATTTTGGGGTAGGTCCACCACCCATTTTAGTCTATTCTAGTGAGGATGGGGATGTTCGCTGGGGGTACGGGATGTTGACCCATGGCCATATATCTGGTAACATGAACAACTGCGTCAACCAATCTAACAAGCCATGTGCTCCATTAGATTTTGTGGACTTCCTGAAACCTCACTTCCTGAGTGGGTTGGCCGAAACAAGTTTAGACTTGGCTGTTCCCCCTCAAATGGTCTTCGCAAAAAGTAGACAGTGCGGGAATTCAGGAAGCCAATTGGCGTGCTCGATCTTCGCACTGTCCTTTGAATCCCTTGCCACTTTGATTGATGAATGTAGCACGCGTTCATTGAGCCAGACTGGATTTGGAAAGCATTCCAATGGAAGCGGGGGTTCAGCAAAACAGGGAGCCCGTTCACAAACAACACCCACGAGCAGTCAAAGAAGCAAAAAGCCCAATCGACCGTCAACAGGCAAAGCGCAACTGATGTTAAATGGGTATGGGTCAAAATGAACCCGCCAGACCGCAGGTTTTAGTCCTTGGTTCCATCTACAAGGTTCCATTTTGGGGTTACCCTATTTTTTACCCACAGCCAGATAGTCGTACCAAGTACGACCCAACTCACATCCCTTTACTTTGCTCCCATGGGTCTTCCGGGTGAGGCCCCTTCAGTGGCCAAGCGGCATTTTTTGCGCGCGGAAGGCACATGAGACCGATCTGGGCATCACATGGCTGAGCCAACACTCCATTCTAAACCCCAATTTTCGCAATGGTTGGGTGTGGGACAGGGGTCACAGTTGAGGATCCTTCTGAACTCCTGTTCGATTTGCGATGGTTGGGTTTGGATCATGTACCAGGATAGCTCCCAACGACCGCACGAATCGGAAGATACAGCCATAGTGAGCCAATCCTCCTGGGGCGAAGAACGCCAGCTGGTTTGTCTCAAAATGAAGGAACCCCAACATGCTGGTGATTTCCCTTTGAACCAGCCCAACAAACTACCCTTCAAAAATGTGCTCTTGCCCAAAATGTCTAGAGGGTGAATTCCCTTTTTTGAGTAGTTTCTTCGGGTCCAGGTAGCGACACGGTCGTTGCGTCAACCCCAGCAAAGTCATAATACGGCTCTGGATCAAAAATGGGTGCTCGAATTGGAACCCTGGTAAATGAAATATGGACAAAAATATGCGGTGCGGTTCCTGGTGGGTGATTTTCACCTATACCCATAGGATTAGATTCTGTATTAATATAGAGTATTGTGGTCCATTGGCTAGAAGGTCCCATTTCGATTGTCAAGCAAACAAACTAAAACAGCCACTAGGATGAGCACATGGTTGTTTCTTTTTTCAGGGGACCCCCCAAAAAAGAAGAAGCTCAGGTGATATCCCCAACAGCATGCGGTGCTCTTTTTAGTGCTCGCACCACCCCGCAGCCCTCGCAGAACCCTGGTGAAACCTTAGTGGAACCCTTGTGGAGCCCTGGTGGAGCCCTGGTGGAACCCTTGTGGAACCCTCGTGGAACCTTACCTCAGGGCCGCCCTGGACCACCCCGGAGCCTATCTGGGCTGAGACCCCAAAGCTTTCAGCTGTGGAAAAATAAATAAATGTGGCTTTCCTGTTGGCTCCCCTTCAAAAGCCACAAGAAAACAAGGGGGTACCAACCCAAACAGCGACAGCCCGGAAAAGAAAGATTTCCTGTTGCCTTCAAAGCCATAAAAAAGGGGGTACCAACTCTCAAAAAGCGACCAGTGCCACGATTTATGTCCACCAATCACCTTTCAGGGGGTTCCAACAAAAAACAAAGAAACACAGAAGAGGCCAAATCACTTCGCCACCAACACCTGCTCTCATGAAAAGCTTCCTATATAGAAATGTCCTAGCCGTAACTCTCAAGAAAACGACCAGTGCCACGATTTATGTCCACCAATCACCTGTCAGGGGGTTCCAACAATTAAAAAATCAGAAGAGGCCAAAACTTCGCCACCAACACCTGCTCTCATGAAAAGCTTCCTATATAGAAATGTCCTAGCCGTATGGAAAAAAAACACAGGGGGTTTACCAACTCTCAAGAAAACGACCAGTGCCACGATTTATGTCCACCAATCACCTTTCAGGGGGTTCCAACAAAAAGAATCAGAAGAGGCCAAATCACTTCGCCACCAACACCTGCTCTCATGAAAAACTTCCTATATAGAAATGTCCTAGCCGTATGGAAAAACACACAGGGGGTTTACCAACTCTCAAGAAAACAACCAGTGCCACGATTTTATGTCCACCAATCACCTTTCAGGGGGTTCCAACAATTAAAACATCAGAAGAGGCCAAATCACTTCGCCACCAACACCTGCTCTCATGAAAAGCTTCCTACATAGAAATGTCCTAGCCGTATGGAAACAAAAGCACAGGGGGTTTACCAACTCTCAAGAAAACGACCAGTGCCACAATTTATGTCCACCAATCACCTTTCAGGGGGTTCCAACAAAAAACAAAAAACAAAAAACAGAAGAGGCCAAATCACTTCGCCACCAACACCTGCTGTCATGAAAAGCTTCCTATATAGAAATGTCCTAGCCGTATGGAACAAAAAACACACTGGGGGTTTAACTCTCAAGAAAACGACCAGTGCCACGATTTATGTCCACCAATCACCTTTCAGGGGGTTCCAACAAAAAGAATCAGAAGAGGCCAAAACTTCGCCACCAACACCTGCTCTCATGAAAAGCTTCCTTTTTAAAAATGTCCTAGCCGTATGGGAAAAAAACACAGGGGGTTTACCAACTCTCAAGAAAACGACCAGTGCCACGATTTATGTCCACCAATCACCTTTCAGGGGGTTCCAACAAAAAACAAAGAAACACAGAAGAGGCCAAATCACTTCGCCACCAAACACCTGCTCTCATGAAAAGCTTCCTATATAGAAATGTCCTAGCCGTATGGAACAAAAAACACACTGGGGGTTTAACTCTCAAGAAAACGACCAGTGCCACGATCTATGTCCACCAATCACCTTAGTGAAAAACGATTCATGTCCACCGATTTCTGTCCACCGATTTCTGTCCACCGATTTAGTTGGCAAAGAAGTTAAGGTCCTAAAAACGCTCCCACCGCAAAAATGCGCCCAGAAGCTCCGAACGCTCCCATTCCGCTCCTCGCAGAGCTTCACGAAGCCCTTGCCATCCAGCTCCGCCCGGCCGGCGCCGCCTCGGGTCTTCGGGTCGAACCGCTTGGAGGGCGGCTTTGGGCGAAATCCGGCCCAGGCACCGGCGAAAAATCGGGTATACACCTGCCATGTAGTGCTATACACCTGTATAGTGGTATACACCTGTACAGTGGTATGCACCTGGCATATGGTGGCTAGATAGTAACCACCCCCCAGGCTAAAAATTGGGTATACAAGTAGTTCTTTTTAATGTAAGAGTGAGGCAAGAGCGGCTGTGTATCTTAAATTAAACCAGACTGTGGGTGGTTGTGACATCCATTCCGCACTTGGAAACCGTGAAGACACATTTGCACGGCAATCATCAGAAACCAGGGGTTCTTGGGTGATGCGAACTGGACTTCGTCCATCATGCGTATCATACAACCTCTGTTTCTGACTCTGATCATGCCTCGAATGTGAAGAAACTAGGACGCTCGCACCTGCAGGAAGGTTTCTAGAACCTTCTTACAATTAAGCTCTGAGAAGGTTGTGGAGAACGCGGTAGGAGGTATTGATGTCTCTCCTGATTGCCCAGGAATGGTCGGGCTGAGCTAGCTTCGTCAACAGAAACGTTGACAAACGCGTGCGTCAAAATATAGCCCCTCAAAGGAGCTGCCGAAATGCTTCCCTGATGGAATCTTGGTGACTTGTGCTATGCATTCGAAGCCAAACTAAAAGGGATGAGGGAGTTCAGAAGCACCCCCGCAAATCGCCGCCAAAAGAGGTCGATGCTTGTCGCTGCGCATCTGTCTCCCATGCACATGAAGGGGAAGGCCATGAAAACATGCACGCAGATGTGCCCGTCTGATACACGTACATTTGCACACCATGCAGTATGTTGATCATTCGCGGAATACTCATCCATCCAGGATAAATTCAAATCCTTGGCGGAAATGGCATGACTCATTCCACGCAAGATATGGGTATGTTCTTGGGGCTACCCCCGTAATCTCCTTTGTGGTGCGGTCCGAATATTGCAAACCCCAAAGGCGAACCGCATAAGCTCAGGTGATATCCCCAACAGCATGCGGTGCTCTTTTTAGTGCTCGCACCACCCCGCAGCCCTCGCAGAACCTCGTGGAACCCTCGTGGAACCATGGTGGAACCCTGGTGGAACCCTCGTGGAACCTTACCTCCGGGCCGCCCCAGACCACCCCGGAGCCTATCTGGGCTGAGACCCCAAAGCTTTCAGCTGTTGGGGAAAAATTTGGGGAGCTACAAAAAAGACACACCAAAACATATTCCCTTCACAACCAGCCGACCAGTCCTCCTCGACTGCCCAGCCGACCGCAACCGCACCCGTCACTCGGCGAGGCGCAGAAGTTGTAGAAGGAGGCCTCGAGGCCATCCGAGTCGCTGGGCGCCAAGATCGCCTTGGCCTTCTCGATTTCTCCTCGGCCCGCCCGCCGAACCGCCGGGTTCGCCGAAGCGCCGAACCGACGAAGGGTCCGAGTTCGAGCGAGTTGTTGGAGTCAGCTTTTGGCCCGGCCGCGTGTTGTTGTTTTGATTGGTTTGCTTTTGTTTTTGTGGCTTTTACGGCTTGGCTTGGTTGAAGTACCCCCTGTTTGTGGCTTTGAAAGGGAAACCAAAAGGAACCCACCATCACCCAACTGTTTGCTATGTATATTGTGTGTAAAGGGAAACCAAAAGGAAACCCATCATTGCCCAGCTTTTGTTTGTGTCTTTAAAGGGAAGCGCCCAAGCGGTGAGAACGGAGTGACTGGCTTGCCGCGCCGTAAGAGATCAAAAGAAGTGCAATTCATTTTCACGCTTTGGGAAAAGTCCCCCCCCGCCCCCCGCCCCCCGCCCCCCGCCCCCCGCTTCCGGTCTCTCTTCTGAGACAACTCCTATCGCACTTGCAGCACCTCCACTGCGGTCGTTCTAAGCCGCAGAGGACACCGGGGTTGTGCAAAGGAGCTCCGAACCCGCAGCCTGGCAACAGCAACAGCCTCGCTGAATTGCATCCAGGGTTCGAGTGCCCATGCCACTCCGGATCCAAGATCGGAATTCCCCGTAGTCGATCTTGCCATCCTTGGACTTGTCGAGATCGACGCCTGTGAGTTCAGCAAAAACGTCCACTTTCCGACACTTCAACCACGTGAAGGAATCGCCGTGCCCAAAGAAGAAACCTTTAAGAGGGCGAGACGATTTACTCCAATGCCTATGGCTCGCATGGATGGTTGCCCCCGGACAGCTTCAGGTCTTATGCTCAATGGGACTTGCCAGAAGCCACAACCTCCGCTCGTCCCCCGCTCGTGCACTGAGCGAAGCCGGAAGCCGAAGGGGGTGGAGTCCAGCCTTTGACGGAAATCGAGCTCTTCTATTGCAAGGCTCGACATATTGACTTGCGCAATGCGCAAGCAAAGACTTTAGCTGAAGCCAGCTTTCATGAAATTTGGCCTGAGAGCATGCAAATACATGGGGGTAGTGCCTGACAAGCTAGCCCAGGTATCCCATGTTTCTTCTAGATGTGAAAATTGAACATTCAAAGCAATCTGCTCTCCACAGCCTTCAAATCAGCGCCCTTGCATCATTCAAAGAGAGGTTCTACATGCTAAAGGGGTCAAGTCCCTTTGCGGATGGTTAATGGCATCAAGGTCCTCCAGTAGAGAGGTTAGAATAAGAGTACCCTTTTTTTGCGTCTATTTAGTAGGGGAACCCTCCCAACCAAAAAAGGGTAAAAGGGCACTACTGGCAAACCCAGGCATGTTGAGGCAGCTCCCGGGCTCCATGGGTCTCTCGCGCGAACCTGAATTCGACCGCCAGGGCACACACATTCCGCACCTCCTCCTTGGTGAGGGAGCCCAGATTCCGCAGCGCAGCGGCCATCTCCTGACGACTCATGCGTCGCATGTCGGAAGCTTGGTTTCTGTTGGCCCTGCAAAAGCGGACAACTTTTTGGGGTTTAGTGGAAAACCCAACTTGATTTCCCAAAAAGTTAAAGTCTAAAGATCCAACCCAATAGCAGTTAAGTTCGGAAAGGCCTCTGACATGTTGGCAGAGCGAAGCCGCACACTCTAGACTGGCTTGAGCTGTGTTGGGTAGGTTTCTCGACACCCCAGCAACTGGTGGAAGAGCAAACGCGAACTAACTAACAATTTGCTGGCGGCATGAAAAGCTTAAGCAGCAGCCCTGCGCTGAGGCAAAGGTGGACTGGGAGCTCAAATCAACTGTTTGCAGGCTTTGGTGCCGGCCCCCTGACGACACCTGGAGCATAGGCCAGGGCCAAATCAAGGTAGAAGAAACACAACACCGAAGTACAACTCCAGCTGCCTCTGTCTTACAATGCCAAGGCAAATTCAAATTGCTCAAGGCAAGAATGCCAGGAACGAAAACAACCCTGGGCTTCTCTTGCTTCCTGTTTTACCAAGGAAAGCTTCGCAGAAAGGAAGCCGCCCCAAGTTGAAAGGGGGATTCCTCTGATTGCCTCAAAAAGATGCCTCTTGATCGTCTACACCGAAGCACCCCGACCAGCCAACCAACAACCCAACCGAAACCCAACCCAAGCCCGATCAAACCTAACCCAAACCCAAACCCAACCTAACCAGCCAACCAATGGCTTGACCACCCCCATGGTTCAAGCGATCTCTTCATCGCGAACAGGTCCCTCCTCCACGTTCAGAAGGCCCTGGCCCTGGTCGTAGCTATCGAAGGCCTTCCTGTCGGCTTCCCATCACAAAAGATCCAGCGAATTCGCTCGTGGGATCCCAACCAAAGCTTGCAACTTCTGCCCAAGCCTTCAAAACAGGTTCAAAAACGAGAACTTGCCCGCGTGTGTATTAACGAGCCCAAACACGCGTTCATAAACGAGGTGCTTTCCTTCAACACTCTGCTCCAGACGAAAATTCGGCAAACCAAACACATCTTGGCTTGAATAAACAGCTTGGACACCTGCCGACACCTGCCGACTCCGGTGCAAAAATTTCGCGAGTGGCATCCCTTTTTGGAAGACGGCCGCAAGGCCCAAAAGATGCAAGTTAGACACCCCTGCTTGTAGCGGCAGGAGCAAGCATCCACGGAAGCCATGTCTTTTTGAGGCATCTTCCCGAAATACGTCCACCCGGGCCTCAAGGGTTTGATCTGTTGCAGCCGGGTACAATCAGGACTGGAGAGGCGGTTTCAGCGAGGCGTGCTGTTAAAGTTGACCTCGATTTTCCTCTGCACCGTGGTCGACTTTAAAATGAGACTTCGCATGGGTGACGCCCAGGCGCCCTCCGAAAGATCATCGCGACCCGGTTAAACAGCAAAGCCAGCGGGGTGCGAGTCGCATGGCCAAGAAAACAAAACCAACAACTGTTGCCCTTTGGGCATGGATGGCGGCTCAGACCCGTGTCTCCGTCACCTGGCGGACAGTCGCATCTTTGTTCAAACCCCTTTTGGTGCTCAAAGGTAGCTCTCCTCAGAATGGGGACCCCAAATAGAATGTTGGGAGCCCAGAAAATGGCAGCTCCTTTCGAGCACATGCGATGAACTCGCCACCATGAGCCAGCCACGCCCCAACTCGCCAATGCAAAGCCCTCAATGCACATGTGCTTTGAGTGTTGCCCAAAACATAACCCCCCCCTGTTCGCCGCGCCCCCGCTGTCCACTAACATGGAATCTGACTGAGGGGTCTAAAAAGTCTGTTTCAATCGGGACCCTCTGGTGGACTCCATGTCGGTGGACAGGAGGGTATCTTTGAAGCACCTGCGTATGCCAGATTAATTCGCAGCATTGTGCCAGCAAACCACCACGACAATCCGCAACAGCCTGACATTCCGTCTGCAAGCACCGCAGAAATTATACTGCTCCTGCGTCGCATTCTCACATTTGCTTTACAAACCGTATTTCAGACTAACAGCACAGCTACAACACACTCTTCCTAACAGCGGAGAAATCTGCCACGCACGTACTGACCTACTAGAAAAGAAACTCTACAAATCACCTCACGGGGTGTGCCATGGACATGCGACTCTGCCTTACAACAACAGCAGCTCAAACCAAATGTGACTGCTGTCACCACCAGCACGACGATTGCCCCAAGCAACTACAAAGCCACATTCCACAATGGGCCGTGCTGCACGCACCGCTGCGCCTCTAACTTCAGCTGTACCAGTGCCTTTGACGGCAGCGTTACCGAGCAGCAGCTTCCAATTGCCAGAGCAAATCTCCAAGGGGCAAAAAGCACAGAGACCTACCATGCCTGCCCGAAAACCGCAGCTGGGCTTACTCATGCAGCACAGGAGTCAATTTCCAGAGGATGGACGAAATCCTGCACTTGGTAGAAGGCTTATCCCATTTAATGGGATAGAGGGGGGGGGGGGTAATTAGGGGGAGGGGGGGCAGTGTCTTACACCGTTGCAATCGGCCATGTATCCAATAAAGCATGGATAAGGCTTGTCATGTGTCCAATCAAGCATGGTGAAGGCTCGTGCTTTCACTTGTGGCCAACATGCCCAGCAAAAACAGCGAGAATGAACCCAACGCTATCCTAGGCTTATACCATAAGCATATGCCCCCCCCTTCTACCCCCCCCTCCATCGCATGACATTATGTCTAGGAGTTCATGTCTCCCAAGTGGTGCGAAATGAATCTCGTCCACCCACAGTCACACCTGTTGTGGTGGGGGGGGCCATGAGGTGTCGTGTCTAGCCCATGCTGCCTCGAAGCAAAGGCTGAGGCAGCTCTTACACGCCAGAGCGATCGATGAAGTCCTTGGCATACTGTCAGGGCAGGTCCCTAATTGCTACACGTCTTCCCAGTGGTTTTGTGTCAAGGGGTACCTTTTTACTTTGGAGACACACGAATGTCCAAAACAAAAGGCCTGTTGGACCTTGGTCATTCACGTTCTGCCGGCCATAGGCGACCTTTTGGAAAAATCGATGGGTTTCCCTGGTAAATGTGATAAACCTATCCAAACCAGCGCCATCTCTTTTTAACCAAAGCAACCTACACGGGACCCCTATGCTGCCGGCTTTGGCCCCGTCGCCAGCCACTCGTTGCCGGCCACGGCTCGCCACTCTGCACGTAGCGCACCACGTTCTCGCGCAGCAAGGCCTCCGCCCCGTCGGACCGCCGCCGGAAGACCCGGCGGAAGCAGGCCAAGGCAAGCAGGAGGGACACGAGGAAGATGGAAATCACCACCACCCCCAGCAGCTCGAAGTTGTCGTTGGCCTGTAAGGTCACATTTGGCCATGGGTCAAAACCCAAATCGTACCCCTAGTAAACATCCCAATCCAACCACCAAAATAGGTTCTAAAATGGGTGGTGCACCTATCCCAAAATGGTACCATTGGGTTTGAACCACGGCCATTTGAGACATGACCAAAGCCATAAAGCAGCTTCCCCTGCTCGGAAACCAAAAAGTCGCAAACATAGCTGTCCTTGTTGAAAAGATAGATGGTATTCTCGATATGGGGCATGAATAACCCATCTAAACCAGTGGAACCCATCTAACCAGGTCCAACAAACTCACCGATGAAAAGGGCACCAAAAAGGTTGCACAAGAGAAGATCCCACATTGGGATGGTTGGAGCAATTGACCCGTTGGACAGCTGCGACAGATTCTCCAGCCCAAACAAAGTGCACCGAGCAAACAATATCGATTCAAATGCTTCTAGGCAGCGCTGCAGCTTGGAACATCTGAATCGCTCCCCCTGGTTGTCCCTTGCAGCAGCCAGCCAACCTCAAACAAAGCGGACAATGCCAACAGCAGTCCATGCCAGCCGAAATCACGGCATGGTCAAGACTCCCCAACTCCGCTTCTATGGGCAAAGGGGAAAGGATTTGGGTGTTTCTTTTTTGGGAGACCCTCCAGGATGGTGGTTCCTTTAAAACCACAAAATACAGGGTACCCTGGTACCCTCCAAGAATAACACACTCATTTATAGATTTTTTGATCCATAGCGTGCATGTTTACAGTAAAGAACAAGCTCCAACCACCCTGCAGTGGCTGTCAGACCTCTGCAACCAGCCACCCGCGTTTCGCCACGGACACACACACACAGACACCACACAGCACACACCACACACCACGCACCCACACACACACACACACACGCCCAAACCACACCCACCCACACCATACACTACAAACACCACACACCACACACACACACCACACACCACACACCACACACCACACACCACACACCGACCAACCCACCCACACACAGACGCACCCCACACCACACACCACACACCACACACCACACACCACACACCACACGCCACACGCCGCACGCCACACACCACACACCACACACCACACACCACACACCACGCACCCACCCACCCACCCACCCACCCACCTACCCACCCACCCCACCCACCCACCCACCCACCCACCCACCCACCCACCCACCCACCCACCCACCCACCCACCCACCCACCCACCCACCCACCCACCCACCCACCCACCCACCCACCCACCCACCCACCCACCCACCCACCCACCCACACACACACCCCACACACAGACACACCACACACCACACACCACACACCACACACCACACGCCACACACCACACGCCACACACCACACACCACACACCACATACCACACACCACGCACCCACCCACCCACCCACCCACCCACACACACACACAGACACACCCCACACACAGACACACCACACACCACACACCACACACCACGCACCACATGCCACACGCCACACGCCACACACCACACACCACCCACCCACCCACCCACCCACCCACACACACACACACTTCAACTCCCAAAGGAGGATGCTAATCGTTCGAGTACAACTGATGAGTCTCGAGTACAACTGATGAGTCTCGAGCGGGTGTAGGTTCGGCTTGCATTCACTTGGTTTCCGTCTAGCAGCGAGCACGTTACCCGAAAGAACAAGAAGCACAAAGAGCGCCGCAACCAAGGGGCCAAATAGACATTTGCAAAACTGGTGCAGGTACACATCAAGGCGTCCCTTGATGCATCCAGTCATCCTCGATAGCTTCGTTGGCGTGGCTACGATGAGACCGCCACGCCCCCTGCGGTAAGTGGTGGCAGGGTATTCTGCCACTCCGCACACACACGCCCTTGAAAGAGGGGCGAGAATCAGTTTTTCAAAGGAAAAACACGCGCCCCAAACCGGGCAAAGACCTGAACAGAAAACAAACGGAGCAAGGGAACCCAAAAGAAACAGAAAGGCCCCAGGTTGGGTCTCCGCGGGCAAAACCCCAAACAAGAAACAAGAACAACGGGGAAGCCAGGGTCTCCGAGGGCAACAACCCCAAACAGCGCAAAACCACCTAGACCTTGTAGACGGAAGGGGCCGCGAAGGTGAAGAGGCAGAAGAGGAACAGGCCATCCCTAACCGGGCGAACAGGAAGTACAAGAAGTAGCCCAGAGAGGGAAAGAAAAGAAAAGAAAAGAACAGAAAGGAAAGGAACGAAAGAAAGAAAGAAAGAAAGAAAGAAAAAGAGAGCGAGAGAGAGAGAGAGAGGGAGAGAGAGAGAGAGAGAGAGAGAAAGAGAAAGCGTATTTAGGGCGTCGCAACCGCCCGGGGGCAAAAAGAAAGGAGCAGGGGTGCGTATTTAGGGCGCCGCATCCCGCCCAGAGAACCACGAGGACAAAGCCAATGCTCGAGGAAGAGGGCGTCGAATCCCGCAGAGGGGCCATGAGGAAGAGCACGATGAAGCAACGGTAGGGGACGAAGACGGCAAGCCAAACAGCGCGAGGGGACCGAGGAGCACGAGCAAATAGGCAAACAAGAAGAGGACGACGACGAAAAAGGCAAACAACGCGGCAGAGAAGAAGCCAACCCTAAACGGGCCAAGAGGAAGAGCAGCAACACGCGGATGACGGAAGGCAGGAAGAAGGAACGGGAGGAAGGAGAAGCCATCCCTAAGCGGGCGAAGTGGTCGAAGACGTACGCGTGGTTGACGAAGGCGAGAAAAGGTGAGACGTAACTATGATCTGGTGGCTGTCTTCCCTTTAGTGAAACCTCGTTCCTGCTTAAACGTGAAATTCCGCTGGTCCATGATAAGAACGTTGAGGTCAAATTTTCCGGCGAACCGGCCCGGGGTCACACGATGGGTACACCCGAGGTTCCCCCAAGATGGGGTGATCACACTTCAACTCCCAAGGGAGGATGCTAATCGTTCGAGTACAACTGATGAGTCTCGAGTACAACTGATGAGTCTCGAGTGGGTGTAGGTGCGGCTTGCATTCACTTGGTTTCCGTCTAGCAGCGAACACGTTACCCGAAAGAACAAGAAGCACAAACAGCGCCGCAACCAAGGGGCCAAATAGATATTTGCAAAACTGGTGCAGGTACACATCAAGGCGTCCCTTGATGCATCCAGTCATCCTCGATAGCTTCGTTGGCGTGGCTACGAGGAGACCGCCACGCCCCCTGCGGTAAGTGGTGGCAGGGTATTCTGCAACTCCGCACACACACACACACACACCACACACACACACACCACACACACAGACACACCACACACCATCCCACACACACACCACACACCACACACCACACACCACACACACACACACCACACACCACACACCACACACCACACACCACACACCGCACACACACACACACCATCCCACACACACACACACGAGCGCGCATATGCGCCCCCAACCCCGGGAAACCCGCGCATCAAGTTGCCTTCTGCAGCAGCGCCCAGAAGCCCCCGTCCAGTTGCCAAAGTCGGGGGCACAGGGACAGAAGCTCCAGGCAGCCAATGAGCAGGGCGATGAGGCCGCTGCTGGAGGTGAGGAAGAGGTTGAAGTACAGCTTCGGCCTCTCATCCTCGTCAAACGAAGGCCGGGGTACTCCGAGAAGGAGAAAGTCGCTCCCACAAAGAGTCGGCGTAAACAGGAACCTCTGCAAAATGTGGGAACCTGCCACAAAAAGAAGGAGAGTCCGGGAATGCCACCTCCGCATCAAAAATGTGAGGACTGGACTTGCTGCATACCAATCTCAATTGGAACAAGCCCCAAAGAACTTCTGACGCCTCAAGGGAGGTGCTGTAGACCCAGGCCATGAGGAAGCCGTTCAGCGTGTCCAGCAGGCACATTCCTGAAGCGAAACCCGCAAAACGCTCGCGGGTCAAGTCATGAAGTCTTCATGGGGAAAACCCAATTGTCAGCGCCGAAGCCCAAAAAAACGAAGGGTGCACGATTGATATACCTTGAGCCACCAGCCCGGATTGTCACAGGGCCAAACGGGGACCAATTCCTAGACTCAAATTGATGAATAGCTTCTTGTGAAAGGATGGGTAGCCATTCAAACCAGCACTAACAATGAATTATCCAGGAGATTTGGCATCCTGCCATCAAGGCCACCCCACATCTGAGTCACAAGCAAAACCTGGCATAACATCGTCTCTGCCCAAGCCAATGTAAAGAACCGAACAAAAGCGGCCGTGCCTCATTTTTGGTTGGGAGTGCGCCTTACTAACCATCACTTACCCGGGCTTGGATGATGGCTCATCTGGCCATGGTCAAAATCCCGTACCCCCGGTGAACATCCCAATCCCCACTAAAATAGACTAAAGTGGGTGCACCTGCCCCAAAATGGTACCATTGGTTTTGACCCACAGCCATCTGGCTTCGACGGACTTCGGGCGGATCAGATCGAGCCGCCCGACATGAAGAGCAACGGCAGCAGCAGCACCGCCGCGGGCTGCGCGAGGCCATGGGATACCGCGACGATGCCCAGAAGGCCCACCTGAGCCACAATCAAAACCCGGTATTAAAGCGAACCCCATGTAAAGAACTAAGAAGGCGGCCGCAGCTGTTTGTGTCTGGGATTGGCCCTTACTAACCTTCATCTACCCGGGGTTTCGATTGTGGCCCGTGAGTGCAAGCTCTTCGCCAGCCAGCCAGCCAACCAGCCTCCTGTGGGTCATATGTGCGTGTCTTTTTGGTGACCACCGAAAATGGTTTCGGTGTCACAAAGGGGGCACCATCAAACAAAGACAAATCCATATGGCCGTGGGTCAAAACCAATGGTATCATTTTGGGGCAGGTGCACCACCCATGTTAGTCTATTTTAGTGGGGGTACGATGTGGATTTTGACCCATGCCCATATCTGTTGTTGCACCCCCCCGTCTAAAACAAGCCCCGCGAGAAAAAATCAAACCGGCCCGCGCCTCGGAGGAGGTGTCGAAGCCGAGGCCGAAGAGGAAGCCCACAGGCAGCATATGCCAAGGCTCCTCCGGCAAAAGCAAAAGCTGGGGATTCTCGGAATGTGGGTGTGGCTCAAAATTAAACAGGAGGGGCAAACCGCAGGTGACCGCAGGTGTTGATCCATGTTTCCACTTACCAGGGTTCCATTTTGGTACCGGATGTTTGAGCCACAGCCATGTGGCTGTGGGTCAAAACCCGAATCGTACCCCCAGTGAACATCAACCAATCTACACTAAAAAAGGTTCTATGATGGGTGGTGAATTCACCTACCAACCAAATGCAACCCATCCGAGGGAAAGAAAAAGATTGCTCCCGCAAAGCTTGGGGCTACAAGCGGCCACAGCTTATGCCTTGGCTGCCGTTGACCCCCCTGCAAAAAGTTTCACTTTCTTTTTTTAGGGAGTTTAATGTTGGCACTCGATTAGTAAAGGGTACCGGAATAATAGAAAGTGTTTTTCCTTATTATGGTTCACACCCATTGTTTAAGGGGACCAGAATAATAGATTTTTTTTTGGCCAGGGGGAAAATTCCCAAAAAAAACTCCACAAAGCAAATTTGATTTAAAAAAAACATCCCCCCCCCCACACAATCACCCAAAATCCATGTTGACCCCATACCAAATGCCAACAAATTCACAAACATGCCCAAACAATCACACCTTGCTCAACCACAGAACCCAAAGCCAGCTGAAACTCTGAAAAAAGAAACCATCCCCAGCCCTGAAACTGCAAACTCTTTATTAAACCGTGCTAAGAAATTGCAAAAAATCAATCAGGACAAGGGTACCCCTCACAGACCCCACTGAACCACAATAATGTGATTGTTTTAGGGGACCACAATAGTGGCAAGCCCCCAGCCCCCCCTCCCAGAAAATAAACTGTCAGTTGCTTTGCTCAAAAGCATTCCCCTTTCAATTGGTGGCCCACTTGCTTAAAAGCATCCCCTTTCATTTGGTGGCCCACTTGCTTAAAAGCATTCCCCTTTCAATTGGTTGCTCAACCACAGAACCCAAAGCCAGCTGAAACTCTGAAATTTGAAAACCATCCCCAGCCCTGAAACTGCAAACTCTCTATTAAACCGTGCTAAAAAATTGCAAAACAAAACAATCAGGACAAGGGTACCCCTCACAGACCCCACAGAACCACAATAATGTGATGGTTCCCGCGGCATGATAATGATGATGTTGACAGCATCTTGATGATGTTGACAGCATCATGAAAATACCACAGCTACTCACAGCATTGTGCGCTACATAGACGCGCAGACAACGTCCTAGTGAGTCCGTCAGCAAAACAATGATGTGGACAGGATGATGCTGATACACCAGCCACAAACGATTCCGCGCTACATATCTAGCAAAAGAAAGGCAGAGACGACGTCCTGATGAGTTCGACAGCATCATGACGATGCGGACAGCATCATGATGATGCTCACAGCATCATGGTGATGGCAAAGGCAGCATCTTGATCATACCACAGCCACAAATCATCTTGCGACAGTGTAATGAAATTCAGCATCATCCTGATGTTGACAGCACCATGCCCGCCACCACACCCACAAACCATAACGCGGCGCCGCAGCGATTGCAGCAGCATCATAACGTGGTTGACAACATCATGATGATACACCAGCCACGAACCATTACGCGCGACAGTTAGAGCAGCAACAACGTCCGAATCGGTTCAACAGCATCATGATGCTGCTGACAGCATCATGATGCTGCGGCCAGCATCATGATGATGCGACAACCACGATACCCCAAACAGCACCCGCCCGAGCACCCTGCCATTCATCACCAACGCCCGAAAACAGCAGCCCCAATAGCACCCCAACGCAGCAGCCCCAATAGCACCGCAACGCAGCACCCGCGCCAGCGCCGGACACGTCCCCGAGCACCCTGCCGTCACGTACTGTCACCAGCACCTGAACCTGAACCGAACAGCACCCAAAACCGCACATGCGCCAGCTCGATCTTGGAAAACAATTTCCCTTCTTCATGAGAAGTCTATAGTTTCCAGCTATCTGGGAAATAAGCCCACGCGGTCGGCTGCACCTCCAACAGCAACACAAAACAGCACCTGCACCACCACCCCAAACTGCATGCCCCCCAGCACCCGCCGGCAATCTCCGAAAATTGCGCCCACAACGTCAGCAGTACCTCAAGCAGCACCCCAAACAGTACCCCAAAACTGCACGCGGCCATCAATCTTGCAAGAATGCGCCTGCACCATCACCAGCACCTCAAACAGCACCCCAAACTGAGTGCCCCCCCGCTGTCCATCAGCGCCCTAAACAGCACAGGCACCAGCGCCGTAATCAGCGCCGCAAACTGCATGCCCCCTAGCACCCGGCCGTCAGTTTCGCAAAGCGGCACCTCCACCAGCACCCGAAACTGCATGCCCCCTAGCACCCGGCCGTCAATCTTGCAAAACAGCACCTCCACCAGCACTCCAAACTACATGGCCCCCTATCTCGCAAAGCGGCACCTCCACCAGCACCCGAAACTGCATGACTAGCGCCTGGTCGTCAATCTCGCAAAGCAGGACCTCCACCAACACTCCAAACTACATGCCCCCACTAGCGCCTGAAACTGCATGCACCCTAGCAACCGCCGTCAATCTCGCAAAACAGCACCTCCACCAGCACTCCAAACTGCATGCCCCCTAGCACCCGGCCGTCAGTTTCGCAAAGCGGCACCTCCACCAGCACCCGAAACTGCATGCCCCCTAGCACTTGGTCGTCAATCTTGCAACACAGCACCTCCACCAGCACCCCAAACTGCATGCCCCCTAGCACCCGTCCGTCAATCTGGCAAAACAGAACCTCCACCAGCACTGCAAACTGCATGCCCCCTAGCACCCGGCCGTCAAGCTCGCAAAGCAGCACCTCCACCAGCACCCCAAACTGCATGCCCCCCAGCACCCGGCCCTCAATCTCGCAAATCACTTTCCCTTCTTTATTAGAAGTTAGAACCCCTATAGCTTTCAGCTATCTGGGGAAAAAACAAAACAAACCTAAGCAAATGGAAGACTCCTAAAGGCCTGCTTTCTCTGGAAGGGCCCTGCGCTGTCGCACTGACCCAAGGCTCCCGAATGCCCTCGAAGAGTCGGGGGCAGCACCTTGCCGCGAGCGGAGCGGAGCGTCTGGGCTCCCACCCAAAAGCCCAGCTCGACGAAGGGAGGCGACAAATGGGGGTTGTTTTCTCGATGGTACCCTTTTTGGGTATAGTTTTGAAGGGGAAACAAATGGAGCACCAACATATTGGGCAAGGGGGAGGGAGGGAGGTCCCCTAAAACAGACACACCCAAATGTTGCAAGTGAACCGTAAGGGACAAGCTGTGAAGTTCAGAGGCGTCCTTGATCCCTTGCGGTATGAAAATCAAACGAACGGAATGTGGCAACTGGCAGACTAGCTTTCCTTCAGGCAGCCAAGGCTGCATGACAAATGCCAGTGCCCAAGGCCGAATATCGGCTCGAAGACACACAAGTGGAGTCCCAAGCATCTCACAGATTCAAGCAATCACACAGAGATATGTCATCCACACATCGTAGGTTCGACTGCTCCTCTCAAGTTCCAGGTGAGTCACAATCAAAACCTGGTACTAAAATGGTCCACCCAAATGTAAAGACCTACCAAGGCGGCCGCGCCCCAAAACTGGTTAGGACTGTCCCTCAACCTTCACTTCCCCGGATCGATACTGTGGATGGCCGAAATCCATTTCGCACCACCTAAGAAACCCTGGAATGATGATTCCCCTGTAAATGCCAAGGAACAATGGTTTGCTTCGGTTTCCAAGTGGAGCAGGATTTCGTCCATCCACAGTATGATCGCCAAATGATGATATTATAGTTTTAGAGTGGTCCGTACTCTGAGTCAGGACGCACCAAACTCCGTGAGAAAACTGTCAGCGTTCGGCACGGAAGCTTGGCACAGGCCCAGCGCGGAACTCCCGTAGAACATTTGTTCAGTCGAATGAAATGGTCTCCATTGCTTCTCGGATCCTATGAGCATAAGAAAGGACTGGAAACAAGAATAAAAGCCTGCGAACTTCTCTAACTTCTCTAGATAAAAGTCTTACTGCAATCAAGTGCCAGAATACTTTTCGTAGGTTCCCCCTTCCATTGAAAGTTCCATGGGTGGTTAAATTAAGCCTTGGCTGCTGGCCTGGTGACGACGCCCAGAATCTCATGGCTATGACCGCAGCTCTCGTCGCCCTTCCTGCGAAGAAGGGCTTGCCCAGTGAGGAATCGGCAACGGAGATACTGTGGATGGACGAACATGTTGAAACCATGGGAACCATATGAATCCAGACTTTCTTGGGTGGTGATGAATTTTGTGCCAGTTTCCATGGATTCCCGGTGCTCATCCAGCAATTGTCTTTCAGACGTGCGTGTGTACAGCACAAGGTCCAGGGGATGCAGATGATTGTTCACCACAGATTTCCTCTTAAAATTCGAATCATGCCAAAGTTTCTTAGGTGGTGCGAAACGGATGTCGGAACCATCCACAGTACCAGATATCAAATGGTAAATGGTTTGACACAGATTTCCTGGGTCCACTCATGTTGCTGGACAAGACTTTGCTTGGGCAAGCTGTGCGAAGCGGAAAGCTGCTGCCTTGCAAACACCCCGGGGGCTCATGGAAGTTCGGACAAAGTTCGTTCCTTGGGGGAATGACAGGAGTCAATCTACAATATGGCATGTGGTGTATCTGTCAGAGGGCTTGCTTTCCCTCACGTTGCTCTTGTTCAAGCCTCCAATTCTCCTGCGGTTCCAAGCCCCCTGTTTGAAACAGCGTTCTCCCTCTGCTCCACAAGCCCCTAGAGCAGAGGGCTACGTACTTAAAGGGGCAGGATACCTAGCAAGTGGCTAGCAAGCCTGGTTATAACCCACTGAACGGAGACCTATTGGTAAGTGGGTTCAAGCCATGGTCACTACTCACCACTTACTCTGTGCCCCTTTCAGAGACCACGAGCCGCGAAAATATGCGTCAAGGCTCCAAGCACGCCACAGCTGCCGCGCGGTGTACAAATTCAGGAGCCCGATGATGGTCCTTCCGCGCGCGTCAGGCGCACGCGCGGAGGCTTAAGGCGCCACCTGCAAGTCTCTTGACAAGGGGGAGATCCATGTGGGGGTTGATCAAAAAATCCGATACGAATGGGGTGACCACTGGTTGGAAACCACCGAAACAGATCTGCCTTTCACCCGCATGGGAACAGTTCCACCCATGCCGGTGGCTTCCTGCAAATCGGGAGCCTGGTGGATGCAACTGAGCGGAAGCAATTCTGTCTGAAGCAGCCTTGTATTCCTGACACATGGGGGTTGATCAATATTCCATTTAGGGCCCTCAGTTTTGACCTTGTAACGTCCCACGTGGGAAAGGTCGTTTTATCGGTGGTACACATGGTCACCCCATGTCAAGGACCTTTTGATCAACCCCAACATAGCCTAAGCAGTGATGCTCTTCGTAGGAGCAAGCACTCCGCCCCTGTCAATGCACAGCTGATGGCTAGCCAGGGCACAAGAAGGTGCCAGAGATGGAAGTGCCTATGAGGCCGCCATACTCTTGGAAGATCTCCAAGTGGTCCTTCCTGGGCCGATCGCTCGGCCCAGCCAGCCAGAAAACTACAGCCTTTGGCGCAGCAACCAGCCAGCCCTCTGCAGAGGGGCCGTGTGTCTGAGGCTGTGTAGGATTGAAGCCAAAAGCAGACCACCAGTGTCTAATCTCGGTTGCTTTCTGCTCTCCTGCTAACAAAATAACTTTTAGTGGTTTAATGGAAAACCCATTAGTTGGCAAAAAGTTTAAGTCCTAACGTCCAAGCAAAATGCACCAAAGCAATGTTTTCCGCATCGTTGCCGGTTCCTGCCAGACAGCATCCTCAGTCATCCTTGCAACCCCCAAGTTTGCGCAGGTACATCTGTCTTTGGCCAAAGCAAGATGGGCCAACAACGCCTTGGGTCTCAAAATGGTGGGTCTCATGGGCTCTCCCCGTCTCTCCCTAAACATGTGCTTCTCCCTCGAATCAGCTGGAATCGGAGCCCTCCAAACAGATTTCGGCCCGAAGATGCTGCCCGGAGCAGAGGCCGCCTCGCAAAGCCCGCGCGACCGCGAAATCGGGCATGCGCAACCTCCCAAGGGCCAGCTTGCGGCTCCCTTCTCCGACGCCTCCGTATTCTCCCGAAGTCACTTCCGCTGAGGCGCATGAAGCCCTGGGCCAACAGGATGCACAGGCACGCCAGCAAGACCTCGATGGGTCGATCCGCGAAAAGGATCCAGCCGCGGCAACCAGACGCGTAGCCCGGACCAACCCAAAACGGGGTGAGTTTTTGTTGGGGGGCGGCAGGTGCGCTCACATGAGTTGAACCCTTTGTGTTTTTGCCACTTCTTCAATACTGTGTATGGACAATATCCTGCACCACCCGAAAAAAAATATGAAAAAAAATGGGAAACCCTTGTTTGTTGGTATGTACAGGGGAATCATCATTCCAGGGTTTCTTAGGTGGTGCAGGATTTCGTCCATCCACAGTAGGGTCGCAAAATGTTTGGAGAAGTCCGGAGAAGATGACACGTGGCCGCTTGCGGGCTGCAACTCAGCAAGGCGTCTGGCTGGTATGCTATGCGGGGAGCATAGCATAAGACTTCCGCTACACGACTTGGGTCAGCCACATGCTTCCAGCATTCAACATGCAAGAACGAGCACCTGGAAGCCTTCACAGATCTGCAGAAACCGATGGGACCAGTGTGCATAGCTTTTTTCGGCAGCTCTCGTTAGCCCTAATCGGCTTTGACTCTCAGCCCTATTTGTATGCAGTTGCTTGATGACTTTGCCTAGTCTGCCCGAGGGGCCCACTGTTCAAGGTCTTCCACTGCAGGAAGTAACAAGTCAGAGCAGTGGTCGAAAGACTTTCTGGCCTCTCTGCGTGGATTGCTATTGTTTGAGAGAAACAAGCTTGCTGTATATGAGACTCAGCGCATGGCAAACCTTCCTAAGCAGCGATGGTGACAGCGGGCAGTGGGCCAACTGGCTCGCCCATCTTGGGCCGGATTTGGTATATAACGT